CCATCTCAAAGATTTACACTTACTGAGGGGTTTTTAAAGGAAGGCTTGCGGGAATGGAATGTGGGAGGTGAAAAGCAGGAGAGCAGATGTGAGTTATGAGGGGCCCGTGTCTATGGGTCAGGTACAAGGTCTCGCCAAGGCCTCATCTGGTTTCTGTTCTCATCTTCGCTGTTATCTCAGGACCCTGCAAGATTTTGACTTGTGCTGGTGTACTTGGCTAGTGCCCAAGGCCAGCTTCAGTCATTTGGCCTTGATCATTTCTCAAAACTCTACAAGTCTCAAAGAAAGAACTGTTAGCTTTTCAAAGAAGTAATTAGCTTCTCAGCCTTGTTTTCCTACTTAGCGAGCGAGATAAGAAAGTCAGGGGATGGGAAAAAAGAGCAGAAAGAAAAAAATGTCCTTTTATAAATCTTTCCCCACTCCATAGCCCAGGCAGCTTTAGGTCCCAACATGGCTTCAGTTTTGTTCACTCTAACACAAGCAACCAGCATTATCTATCGCTCACAAATGTTTATGCCTAAACTTGTTTTTTAGAATAGCCAGATCCAGGGAACAGCATGCTCCAAAAAGCAACCATGAAACTCCTGGCCACAGACAAGTTTTGAGGGCTCCTTTCTGGGCCCAAATGCAAACTAGGCTTCAGGAAGTGACCAATGAACCGTGTTCCATAGTCCTCCAATCCAAACTGAACAAGTTTGCATTCTTCATTTGCATAAGAGGACCTAAATGAGGACTTGGGCAAGGAGTTGGCTGGGAACTTAGTCTATAAAGGCTACCCCCTTTCCTCTGTCTGGGGAGATACCACTTTGGGAATTATCCCCAGTGTACTCCATTACCTGTTATAATAAACCTTCCTATCCAGACTTCTGGTCTCAGTTGCATTAATTCACTTACACTCACTGAGAGACGGACCCCTTGAGTCTGGTAACACTCTGAGTCTCTTACTCCCGTATACAGCTCTCTAAATCAAAGAAGGCTTTTGAAGAAGCAGCATTTCCAACTTGACATTAATGGGTAGGTTGAATTATAGAGGCAACAATGCCCACTGGGTTTTACATTTTAGTTTTTCAGTTCCTAAACCACTAGTAAGTTATTTCGCAGTTACATTTAATAAACCCTCCTGTTATGCTTTTCAAATAATTCTTGGAAAATTGTATTTGAGTATATGGCAGGGGATGGAAAAAAGGTGGAAGAGAAATTAAGATTGTGCTGAATGATTATCAAGTAAGTTTTTTGTTTCTGTAACATATATCATCTGGTAATACATAACAGCTAGAGGAAAGGGCTGATTTGTATAATTACTTTTAGACACTGACTTTAAAAGTGAACAAGGCTATTAATAGAAAAAAAAATCACTCTTTAACATCTTTATTTGAATTGATAACTTTGGCACAAACCCACAAAGAGGATCCAAAATAGCAGTACTATCTATTTGCAGAGGAGCAGATGCCAGCACCTAATAAGAGCATGCCACATTCTGTAACTTCCTGTAAATTGAAAACCAGGGTCCTGAAAAGCATCAGTGGCAGCATAAATTTGATGCTCAGATGCCAACTGAAGCCCAGTGTTGGGTTTGTCCACCAAAATGTCAAACGAACTTTCATGGTTGGTATTTTGGCACTGACGTGACAATGGCAACAAGTATTAGGAATCAAAAAGAGGAGCCCAGGGAAAAATCTCATCAAGTGAGAGCAAAGAATGTAGACTCTACACAATAATCAAATAAAATGTTTGAATCTTCTTTCGTATCCTACAAAATCAGAGCTACTAACACAGCAGAGTGGCCTATTTTGAACTTTACCTCTTATTTTATGTGCCTGCTCACTGGCCAAGGAGCACAATAGCATAACAAGTGATCTAGAGTTGGCTCTGAAGACCAGCAGCTGCAGCTTCCTCTAAAGGTGACCACACGTTAAACAATGTAGCAGAGCTGGGGGCAGTGGTCAGGAAATGGGAGGGTGGACTTTGTGTGAGCAAAGGCTTTGGTTTGCCTAAGAGTCCAGGATACAGATTTGCAGATTATAGCCTCTTTCTTTTTTTTTTTTCCAAAAAGATGACCGGTAAGGGGATCTCAACCCTTGGCTTGGTGTTGTCAGCACCACGCTCAGCCAGCGAGCTAACCGGCCATCCCCATATAGGATCCGAACCCGTGACCTTGGTGCTATTAGCATCACACTCTCCCGAGTGAGCCACGGGCCGGCCCTAACCTCTTTCAACAGTGGCCACAGGCCACATATGAAATAGTCTCTGTAATTTTCATGCATACCCAATGGGACAAAGTCATGAATCTGGGAACTGGAGACTTTTTTCCCACAGGGCTACTTGTTCCTTTCGAAAAGTGCTAGGACTGGGAGGCCCACGCAATTTTTAGTGTTTTTTAAAAAAAATGCCCGGGCCGGCCTGTGGCTCACTCGGGAGAGTGCAGTGCTGATAACACCAAAGCCCCGGGTTCAGATCCCATATAGGGATGGCCGGTTAGCTCATTGGGTGAGCGTGGTGCTGACAACACCAAGTCAAGGGTTAAAATCCCCTTACCAGTCATCTTTAAAAAAAAAAAAAAAGCCCAGGTGATTTTGATTTAGTTCCCATACTTTTGTAGACTACAGCTATATGGGAAAGGAACAGGAACAAGGTGAACTTTTATGTCCGTTTATCAAACATGAATAATAATCCCTACCTTCTCTACTTTATGAGAATAATGGCTAACAGTAACTGTCCAACAAACATTAGCTATTATGTGCCAGGCACTGTTCTAAGAGCTTTACATGTAATAGCCACATAATCGTAGTTCACAGACAGGAAACTGATTCACAGAGAGGTTAAGTGACTTGCCCAAGATCACACAGCTAGGGCTTGGATTCAAAGCTAGGCAGTTTGGCTCTAGAGATCATGTTTTCAATAATCATTTATAATGCTGTAAAGAATATAATAAAAACACGTATGAGAAAAGCATTTTACTTCGGAAAATTAAAGGTGCTCTAAGCAACTGATGAATTAAGTTCCTGGAGGGAAAAGTCAGCATCTAGTCAGCACTTGCTACAAAGTAGCTGTTCACAAAACAACTTCACTCAAAGGACTTAGAAATCTGATCTTTGCCTCTTTCTCTGAAATGCTGACTTTAGCCTACTAAAAGTGCCACAGGTAAAATGACTCCTTTGGCAACTGAAAATAAGGGAAGCACTTGCTGCAGACCAGGTGTCTCACACAGAGGGCTTGGCAACGAGGCAGTGAATAAATAAATGTTGGCAGAACTGAACGCCTTCCAATCTAAGGCATTTTGAAATGAGCTATTCATATTCCACAAAATGGCTTGAATGCAAAATTATTTAGAATGTCAAAACAGAAGGGGGCATGTGGCAAGGAAATTAAAGAGAAATGGAATACTAAACCTTTGAAATTCAAAATAAAGAACCTGGTTATATATCCTTGAAAACCTCTTTCCTGTCTTAGCAGGGAAGTAAGAGGGATGAGTTTCTGGGATCAAACAAACCTATTCTTAAATAATATAATCTCTCTCATTTGTGTTGTATATACATACTTGCTGTAGGCATACCAATCTGAACAAGCTGCTTAATATGCTCAGGTGAATGTTTTTGAAGGCTAAATTTACCTGACATCATTCCTTAACATCCCCTACACTTTTTACCATGCACTCAAACATAGCTCAGAAATAAAACAGGTTTTTCTACCTCTTTAGACAACAAAATGGTAACCTTATAACCAGTCAGGCTTGCATTCCTGGCATCAGATCTAGTAAAGCATTAAATTCATCTCAAATCCAAGAAAATGTTCCGCCTGCCTATAACTTCTAACCAGTATCTAAAGAGCTGATGTATAATGAATGCATCTTTTCCATAATCCCCCCCCAAATTTAATGAGTAACTGGTTAATCCATAATGTGGTATGATCCAAACCTAGGGCAAGCAAAGAATTCCCTGTGAAGACCTGTGTGAGAAGCAGTGAGATCTACTGACAAGCAAAATCTCAGTTGGGCCTGTAGTCATAGGAAGCAGAAACCACCTGTGCTGAATTCCCATAAGGACATTAACTCAGTTTTTCTAGTACAATATTTTCACCCAGTCTCTCTTCTGATACATATTTGTAAAATGTTGCACCCACTACCTAGTTGTGGAACTGATTGTGAGACTAGTTGGCCTTTGCTTTAAGAGCAGTGTGTAAGGAAGTCCGACCCTCTTGGTACTAGGAAAAGCAGAAAAACAGAAGAGCAGCAGTATGTCTGCTATGGTAGCCTCTCAAAAAGCATTTGTTGAACTGACAACGTGACCTACAAGTGTACTTTAAAAAGTTCACTGAAAAATACAATTAAAAAAATAACACAAATCTTTCCATGAACTTTTTGAAGACTCTGTGTACGTAAGAACATGGTCATAAGCTACTTTCAAGTTTGGGGTAAAGGCAACACATACCTCCACTCACTCAAAAATTTTGTCTCCAGTCATCCATATTGCACAAAGTTTTAAAAAATGCCTCATATACAGAATGTCCTGAAATATTAGAGTTTGGGAGGTGGGTGGGAGGGTGATCTCCCCCTCCCACCCCCAAGGGTAGCTACACATGGTCTTAATTCATCATCATCAGTTAAAATGTGCAGCCCAGATTAAAAGAGACATTTTAAGGGACTAATTAGTCAACCCTCACAAACGTAAATTAAGGGCCTGTGTTGAAACAGCCACAAGCACTGTAGCAACAGTGGCTGGAATGTATTCAAATGGAAAAGTTTGGGCTGGAATTACTTGTTTAGAGAAAGAACTACATCACCCCACCCTCCTTCATCAAGTAATCCAAGCCATCTTAAATGCTCAAGGTCTGACCAAGCAAGATGTATTTTATTAAAACTTCTTTCAGCTTAAACTAGATTATATCCTTGGGAATAAACAAATTTTATACAATGAACAAGAAGAAGAGATTCTTGATTACTACTATAGTTCTTTTGTGTAGACTGCTTCTAGGTTAATGCAAAAAGCTCAGAAAAGGACATGAGATAAGATAAAATGCTTTATTATTCAGGATCAGCTCAAAGTTTGACACTGACACAAGGAGAGATAATTATTATCTCATTACATTTGACCTTTGGCATCCAGTTGAAGTACTAGTTTTCCAAGTGGGACATATTACACCCAGTAGACTCTTGGCACAGTTTCTGACAGCCGCATTTACCCCAATTTAATTCAGTAGTGCTGCCAGGAGATGTTCAGGGATACATACAAAATCACCTACTTTATTGACACTTTTCTTTTTCACAGATTTTTCCCCCCCATTGGCTTTCGAAGCAAGAGAGATAGGGTTATTGGCAAGTATTGGTCAAAAATAACACCTCCCCACAGCCCAACACTCAAAAATCAAACATCAAATATAAGCAGATTTCCTAAATATTCAGTTAAGGCCATGGTGTGCTTGGTTTCGATGAGAGCAATTCTACAGCTTCCCTTTTTGTTTTTCTCTTTGGATAAAACCATGGAGAACCTATGCTTAATTGACCTATGCAGTTCTGGTTGTTACAAGCATAATATAAGTTCAAAGGAATTAAAGAGTTTTCATTAAGAATGGATTTTAAAATCATGACAAAAAATAGGAATAAAGACTATGTAGTAATAGAGATATGGATACAATAATAGAGATAGAGACATACCCATAATAGAGATATGGATAAAAGGAATCAAGTTTCGTCACTGGAAAGGGACTGACTCCCTTCCATGTATATAAAGCTTCTTTTCCATGAGGTTACAAAGGGGAATAATAGAAAAAATGGTATATTTCAATATGAATGATACATAATTGTTGATTAAGGGAAGGATGTTTAAGATCTTTTGCACATTATTAATTTAAAGTCAGTCTATACACTCTCTGTATTAAATATCTAGAGAAAACTCCATGACTTTTTCGCTTAGGGCTATTCTAGAAGGTTATTGCATTTAATGTACATGAGAAAGCTAAGATTTATTTTTCAGGTTCTGGATTTTCAGTTCAGAGCTATCTTTTATAAAAATATCAATAAAATCATTATTTTTTCTTAAAATCTGATGACATTTTTTAAAAAGTTGCAGCCCTATAGAACTGAAGACTGCACCTGATTCAAACCCCAGCTTCAGTGTATGACTATTGATTTTTAAAATATCTCCCTCTACTAAATGACAAAAATCATAACCTACTATAGAAAGTGGTGTTGGTTTGATAACACAGTAGATTGCTTGGTAAAAATATGGGGACCTTAAATCTCATGTGGGAGATATATTTGGGGGAAAAAAGACAAATATAGCTATTTTTGTTGTTCTAGTTTCTCCAAACAGTTGACATTTTATCACTGCACTTAAACTAAAGATGACTTTAACTCAAGAGAATGTATTTTAACACTAAACTGATATAAATGTACTTATCTGAACATCACACTTTTACACATACTTAAAAAAACAACACAAAAGCATAGTGAAAAGATGATATATTTCAAATAAAGTTATACTTGTCTAAGGCAGAACAGATCCAGGGGTCTTCAGCAGAGGATTTCGTCAGCAGTTGGCCTTCACAGATAGGCCTCGTGCTGTGGCTGGCAAATACTTTCCATTGTGTACAGAAAGTTTCAGGGTAACCAGAGACATGTTTCGTTTTTTGCCTCCATGAGCTAGGATGTCGTTATTGCAGAAAAGATGCATACTTTAAAAAGTGAAGACTATTCACTCAAAATGCTACAGTGACAAATTTACTTTATGAAATTTAAACACAGATTCATCCTGAGGAAGCTGCGTATACACTATGGTAGTAGAACCAGACTAGGTGCATTTCAGAGTTGAAAGAATTTTCTCTAAAAATGAAAAGACGGTAGGTTTCTTAAAGACCAGAGTTTATATAGTTACTCTGTTGTATTTTTCATCTTGTTTTAGTGGACCAACGTTTAGTTAATTACAGACAAGAATCTACAATTCTGTTGAGTGTTCAGGACTACAGAAGTCATCTTGTGACTTTCTATGGAAGTATGTACAGATTTTCCTCATGGAGCTGGGAGTAATGGTGACCTAGAAGAAGAAAAGTTTAGATTTCAGAGATTTCCTAAGAAAAAGTTCAGCTGTTACCTCAGCAAGTTATCACTAAGGGGTACCTTAAGTTAGAATGCCTAGAAATTTGATTAGTCAGCCAGCTTTTCAGTCCCAATACTTTTGATGGCAATGTCTCTTTAGGCTGATTTTTACTGAATATAACAAAAATTTAATAGATGGTATAAGGAAGGCAGGCATAGACTTTTCATGTGAACAGAAAGTGTTTATCGGTTAAGCCTCCTAAAAGGAACCAACAAGGTTACAATTACCATCCTTTTTGAAAAAATTGGTAAATCACCCTCCCCAATTTAAAATGAGATAGGTATTCAAATAGCAGCTTCTATCCTCTTCTGAAGGTCTACATTATCATCTAGATGAAGAAAAATTCTTTTATAGAAACTTTAGCTTCAAAGAAATTATAAGACTAGCACACTATTTTTTAAAACCTTTAAGATTTAAATATTAGTGAAAACAGTTTTTCATTGAAATTACTTTCCTCCACACAGCTGAAACCAGCTCCCCTGGAAAAAAAATAGAAATTTTGGCTAGGGGCAAAGGGCAGCTATAATTTTGAGAGAAGAAAGGAGACTCCATATATATATCCCCCCATTTTCTGTAGCAAGGTCTTGGTTGGAGTTTGTGTACGAAGTAGTCTTTAAAATATTTCTAGTGTATTTTTCCTAAAATGGGATAGACTTCATGACAGTAGGCGGGGAGGGATATGAACACTTATTAAACCAGAACTGGCCTAAAGTTATCCACCTTCTGCCCTTTAAAAGGGAAGATGTTGCTGATCATGATTCCTGGATTGAATTGGGGGAGGGATATGAACGCTTATTAAACCAGAACTGGCCTAAGGTTATCCACCTTCTGCCCTTTAAAAGGGAAGATGTTGCTGATCATGATTCCTGGATTGAATTTCTACCATCTTACCACCTTCTCCTTAACTCAGAACAAGAGCTATCGGGCTGGGCCGTGGCTCACTCGGGAGAGTGTGGTGCTGATAACACCAAGGCCCCGGGTTCGGATCCCATATAGGGATGTCCGGTTCGCTCACTGCTGAGCGTGGTGCTGACAACACCAAGTCAAGGGTTAAGATCCCCTTACCGGTCATCTTTAAAAAAAAAAAGAACAAGAGCTATTATGAACTACAGTGAAAACTTCCTTAACCTCAGAAGCTTTTTATTCCCTCTAACCAGTGCCCATAATTCACCCAATGCTCGCAGATACTTCTGCCTCTACTATTATAATGAGTTATATGCTTTTCCAGGTTCACGAACCTATTTCTGCCAGCAATATCTGTTATTGACATTATCTAATTTAAATATTATGTCAACCAATGAAATATGAGTGCTAAAAAGATAAATGAAACAACACTGAATGTTTAAGCGAGTAGATATAGGTACCAAAAACATTGGTGTGGGCAAGATGACTATAAAAGATCGAGGAGAAGTCAGAAAAATCTGTAAGGATTCTGCACTTAAATTGCTTTGTAAGTATATAAGTTTCACTGTAAACTTAAATAATTGCAAAGTGTAATTACAAACTGGAAATCTACTTAGGGATGTTGGCAACCTTCTAATGAACAACAGCTTTATCTATAAAGAGAATAGCATACTGACTAACAGGAGAGGGGAGATTTTTTTTTTTTTTTTGTCTTTTGTCTTTTTCCGTGTCCGGCAACGGATCGCAACCCNGTACCAGTGTCCATTCCTGGTTTTGATGTTGTACTATAGCTACATCAGATTAGTCATTGGGGAGAACTGGGTGAAGGGTCCATCAGAACTTCAACTTCCTATGAATTTATAATTATTTAATAATAATTTTTAAAGTTGTACGCTCTGAGAAAATGGCCTCTCAAAAATTAGTAGATGGTCTGGAAAGAGCTTTGTTACAGCAATGTTATTTAATTCTTTGAATTCTTTCACATTACATGTCAGAAATCATTTTTTTTAATTGAAACATAGTTGTACATATCTGTGGGGTATAGAGTTGAATATGAATACTTGGGTGCAATATGTGATGCTCAGATCAAGATAATCAGTATATTCAACATTATGCAATGGAATCAATTTTCCTCCCTTATCCCCCTTTCTGTCCCTCTTTCCCACCTATGGCGGCCTCAGTTCTGTTTTCTCCTTTTGAAAGTTCAACATATTATTGTGATCATTGTATCTTCCTTTCTTTTTTTTTTTGTCTTTTGTCTTTTTCCGTGTCCGGCAACGGATCGCAACCCTCAGTGTTGCCCCCGTACCAGACCGGGGACCGGCAACGGGATCGCAACCCTCGGTGTTGCTCCCGTGCCTCGCTCAGCCAGTGAGCGGGAACCGGTCCGTATGTGGGATCCGAACCCTCGGGCGGGAGCGCCGCCGCACTTCCCAAGCAGCGCACTATCCAGTGCGCCACCGGGCTGGCCCTGGGGGGGGGAGATATTTTTGAACTGATATCCTAGAACACAAGGAAGGCTTTAGTGAATGAGGCAACAGGATGAGGAGTATGAACCTTGACAGGAGGGATTTAAATAGGAGTAAATAGGGTTGCCAGATAAAATAGAGGACACCCAGTTACATTTGAATTTCAGACAAACAACAAATAACTTTTTAGCATAAAAAATTTTTAGTATTAAATATGTCCCATGCAAAATTTGTTCTGTATTTTTATGTGCTAAATTTGGCAACCCTAGGAATAAACAGATTGACTTATTTCCCCAAGCATTCTGACTTGAGAAGAGATCTTTGTGTGGCTCCCTTCAAGTTAGATAATGTATCTTCCCACTGGCCCCCTTCAAGTCAAGAAATGTATCTTCCCACCACCTCTGACTTACCGGGGCTGGTGACGTCTTTCCACTCTGTCTCCTAGAATTGGGTGTCTGGGATGATGGACTTCGTGGGGACAAATTCTCAGCCTTCCGTTTGGCTGCCATGGCCAACAACCAGTTTTTATTCTCTGGGGAGCTATTCTCTTTGCCTACCACTTCAGACCCTTCTCCACAAGGTCGCAAAGGAAGAGGTAGCGTTCCACAGCTTTCTGAAGCATAAGGACTGACAGGAGAAGGAGGCTCTGAGGTACTCGTACTAGCTCCTTCAATCTTGCTTGATTTGGTAGGACCGAGAGAGTCCTTACCAAGGTCTTCCTGGTTACCAGCAAGGCAGCAGAGATCCAAATGAAGATTTTCGACTTGGCCGTCAAGCTCAGTCACACAGTTGCAACTCTTCACACACTTTTGTTTCACACTCTCCAGACAGCTTGAGTCTAGCCTCCTCTTTACTCTATTTCTAGACTCAGAGGAAGCCTCTGCTTGGGATGACTTCTGGCTCACAGGAATGAGGGCTTTTCTTGGAGATGTGATCTTGGCCTCAGAAGCAGGTGGAGTGATGGGTGGTGAGGAGGAAGGTGTTCGGGTCACCCAGTTTCTAAGTGACATCTTGAACGATGAGGGTGGCTTGGGAGAGACAGAGGAAGCAGAGCCTCTTCTGTTGATAGGAGACCGGGCCTTGGCAGGAGGGGTTTTAATAGAGAATGTGGGAGTATTTGAAGGAAGAGGAAGGTCTCCAGCACAGCTTGGAGCACAAGCTGCAGAAGATGGGGAGGAAATGGACGGACTGCTCTTTACTCTGGGGGCTTTGGCAGGAGTACTCTGGCTACTCATTACTGTTACTGAAAAAGAAAAGAGGAAAATCAGAAGTGAAAGCCATACAAAGCCCCTAAATTTTCATCAAGGAAAATTATAGCTAACTTTATCATCCAATGGTCAATTTGACAGTAAATAGGTTACATAAATCATTTGCTTCCTACCATATCCTTTTAGGATTTTTCCTTCCTCTTTCCTAACTACCAGCCTCCCAACTACCCTGTTATAAAACATATACTTGTAAAAATCTAGAAAATACCAAAAAAACAAAGAAATTTAAAGCAACCATGTAAACACTTTTAGCATTTTTCTATATTTGTGCATGTGACATATATTATACACCTCAAATTTTTTATGTACAAAAATGAGAACATAATGTATATACTATTTAGTAACCTTTTTTATCAATGAAATTTATCTATTTTTTATATACTTATGGTGTACAACATGATGTTTTGATATATATATATACATTGTGGAATAATTAAATCAAGCTATATAACATATCCATCATCTTGCATACTTAAATTTTTGGAGTGAGAACATTTAAAATCTACTCTCAACAATTTTCAAGTTTACAATAATTATTAACTGGTCACTATGCTGTACAACAGACTCCAGAACTTATTCCTTCTTTATAACTGAAACTTTATACCCTTTGACTAACATCTCCTGTGACCCCCCAATCCCTTCTTAACCACCATGCAACTTCTTTAAATGAGATCATGTAGTACTTGTCTTTCTGTGCCTGGCAAACTTAGTATAATGTCCTCCAGGTTCACCCATGTTGTTGTAAATGACAAGATTTCCTTATTTTTTAAGTCTGAAAAATATTACAGTGTGTATATAAACCACATTTTCTTTATCCATTCATCCACTGATGGACAAAGGCTGATTCCATATCTTTGCTTTTGTGAATACAATGCAATGAACATGAGAGTACAGATACCTATCTCTTCCACATACTGAAATCATTTCTTTAGATATATACCTAGAATTGAAATTGCTGTATCATATGGTAGTTCTACTTTTCATTTTTTGAGAAACCTCCATACTGTTTTCCGTAATGGCTGTACTAATTTACATTCCCACCAACAGTGTACAAAAGTTTCATTTTTCCATATCCTTACTAGCACTTGACACCTTTTGTCTTTTTGACAAAAACCATTATAACAGGTATGAGGGATACATCTCATTGTGGTTTTAATTTGCATTTCCCTGATGATTAGTGATGTTGAGCATTTTTTCATAGACCTGTCAGCCACTTGTATGTCCTCTTTTGAGAAATGTCCATTTGGGACCTTCACCCATTTTTGAATCAGGATATCCTCCTTCTTAACATATCATGAACATTTGCAACATTAATACAGATTTACATGAACGTTTTTTTTTTTTTGTCTTTTTTCTGTGTCCGGCAACGGATCGCAACCCTCAGTGTTGCCCCCGTACTGGACCGGGACCAG